AGAGCAATATTATTCAGCGGTACTCTACTACTGTAGGTCACTAAGGTCAGACTAGTCACTATGGCAACTCTGAGCATGCGCAATATATGACAAAATGGCGACTGAAAAAAGGGTGTGTTATCACGCCCATTATTACTTCTGTTTTGACCTGGAAATAAATTAAAATTTTGAAACTACCTTTGTAGTCCTTGACCAAAGCATAGAGGAATGGTGTAAAAACCAGCCAGAGCATTTTCCTGGCTTAAAAGAATAGTGGGCCTGTAGAAGAAGATGAATGAAGAAGCAAAAGTCTGAAGAATTTTGCAGAAATTTGAATTTTGGTCTATTCTCCAGACTGGCTCCCGCTACATTGCACTCCACTTTAAAGGTACCAGGAGAATCGCTCAGTGAAGGAGAGCTCGTCTAAGCCATTTATAAAGCCATGCAAGGTAAGATAGAAGAGTTACAATCATTCGAAAATTATAAATTTGGCCGCCATCTTGAAAATTGAACCTTAACACTACATATAGGCTACCGCCTATATAATTAGAGCAAAGAGAGGCGTTGCTTGATGTTGATCAATAAAGAATTTTTGATTAAATTAAGAGTCATCTTACAAGTAAAAAAGAATGCGTCTTCAAGACTGCTTAGATTACAAAATAGTAAACTGCTACGAATATCTATTTGTGGTGTAGGTGGATCTTGTAAATCATTTCTAAATGAGGCAAAAAAATGCCAAGTGGATGACATATGACAACCAAAATGTGGTGAAATTATTTGCTCTGTAGTAGCACCAACAGGTATAGCCACATTTAATGTAGGCAGAATAACAATACATAAATGAATAAAGCTACCAATAGAGCAAGAGCTGGAGCAAGAGCAAGAGCAAGAGCAAGAGCAATATCCACAAACAGCTGGATATTGGGCTTCAAGAAATGAAGCTCAGAAGAAGGAAAATGACACTTATAAGTTTAACATTTATATTAGTGGATGAGGTATCTATTGTATCCAAGGTACATACTTATACATTAGGTTAGGAGATATATTTGGAAATGATGAATGGTTTCAATGGAACAATATTTTATTTGTAGGTGATTTTTAACAAATGTCACCAGTTAATGGTTGGCCAGTGTTTAATAAAATTAGCAACTAACTAGTAAAAACTAGACTTGGAGCACCAACTGCAGTTAACATATAGAAAGACAGAGTAGAATATGAAGAACTAACAATAAATGAGCGACAAAAGGAGAAAAATTTTTTATATTGCTTGATTCTGTTAGGCATGCCTGTGTCACTGATGAAACAATAGATACACTTATGATTCATGTATTTTAAGTTTTAATACAAGAAAAATTAAAGGAATTGAAAAGAGAAGGACAAGCTCCAATTTGCCTATTTTTAAGGTTCATGCGTGCCAAAAAATCAATGAAATTAATGTTGGATAGTCTATAAACTGAGAAAATAGAATCAACATGTGTAGATGTTGTTGATGAAAGTTGCAGCACAGCAAAATTTCACAAAAAACGAGGAGAAATTTAGAAATAAAGCAGCCGGTTCAGGAACTGTATTGTCTTTAGCTGTAGGCTGTAGAGTAATGCTAAAATGTAATATTGATGCGATAATAAGATTTATTAGTGGTGCTATTGGTACAGTATTGGGTATTTATGCTACATATATATCTCTTAAATTTGATCACATTGATGTACTTCGTGACATGGCAAGTGATTTATGGTATCTAAGATTTTGTATATCCACAAAAAACAGTTTCCTGTCATACTTTCTTATGCTATTACTATACTAAATACAGCAATATGGTTACCTGCCTCTGCTGTTGCAGAGCAGCAACATGAAAAAGGCCAGCACCTCCAGCTTCAGGTGGATGTGATGTTGGAGCAGCTGGACGAAGTGGCGGAGGACCCAGCAAGTGGTTGCAGCCCTTCACCCAGCAGTGAAGGACCCCCAGCAACTGGTTAAGGACCTCCAGCCACTGCTGTACGACCACCAGCCATCAGTGGAGGTCCACCAGCCAGCGGGGGATGACCTCCAGCCACTGGTGGCAGACCTCCCACTAGCAGTGGAGGATGTCCAGTTAGCGGCACATGTGCTCCAGCCACTAGTGGTGGACCTCAGTGGAGAGCCTTCAGGCACTCGTGGACTGCCAGCATCTAATGGAGTACCTCTATCTACTGGAGGTGGCGGAGGAATTGATGGTGGTGATGGTGAAAGTGGACCTATGGTGGCCCTGAAGTATAATCTGATGTCGGGCACGTTGCTGCCCAATGTCGTGTCCATTGTTGTCCAATGTTGGGTCCGTCGTCCAATATCATATGTACATCAGGTTGATCTTCAATGCCGCCACGCCTATATATCTACCACGTGGCGTGCACATGAGAAAAATGGCTGAGCCTGTTGAAGATGGATCTGGAGAAGAACTCGTGTCTACTTTAATGAATATATCTGAAACTCTATGCGAGAAAGCCATGGCTATTGAGGAATCAGGAGTTGCTAAAGGTTATGAATGAGCTAGTGCTGTAGTGCAGTTACTGTGATGTGTCATAGATTTAGTAAGGCGTGGTCGTGCTCTGCAGGAGAACAACAAGCAGTCATTTTCAACTGATAGACGAAAGAGGGCAAATGAGTTAGAAGTAAGTGCAAACAAGTCATTTAGTTACTGTTATTTTATTATTATTTAATTTATAGATTAATTGTTGCTTAATGGAATGTGGGCGGAGAGGTTACACAAAGTCTTCTGCTGTTTATGAGGTTCAGATCAGTAAGGATGACTCTTACCATTCAGTTATTCGCAAGATAAGCGGCTCAATTGCAATTGATGACTGTGAAGAAAATGAGCTAAGGTTATTCAATGGAAGAGGTGGAATAATTCCAGATGGTTGTATTACTGTTTGTGATAAAGAAGTTGATTGGTCGTTGGGGGCCTTTTTACTAAAGAGACATACCTCTGCAGACAAGTTAACTCTAGGCATAGGCATTGTTGATGAAAAGCTAGAACCAGTTATTTCCGTATCAAAAAAGGCAAAGGGTATGGTAGAAAACTTATCAATACTCAGTTGACAATACTATTGTGATTTAGTCAGTAGTAGTACTCATATGAACACAGAACCCTTGAGAAAGGCAGCAGCTGATCAGAATGGTATCAGTAGTATAATATTTTCAACATTGCTACTTTATATGTATTCTCAAATTTTAGTGAGTGGAAGGAAGGTTGATAGCAAGTCCTCAACTAATGATATAGAATATCAAGGTATATCATTATAAATTGTAAATTATTTATATGATTATGTAGCTTATGAAGCCTCCAACAATGATGGATTACAAAGTTTGATCAATAAGATTTGTTTTGTATTACCTTTTCTTAGTATATTACTCTTCCGAAGACAGTATAATTCTTATTACCCGTGAAGAAGTGTGGGAGGAAATCAATGGAGCTGAAAATGCTAGAAATGGATTTATTCCTGAGCAAGCATTTTATAGATTAATTTTCATAGTTTTACTGAAGGACAATGGTAAGTCTTTATTATTTATTCCATTGTTTCATTTTTTAGCAGATCCGTCTAGAAAAATACCTGTTTAAAGCATGATAGCAGTACTGGCTTGATTACTCCTGTGTCTAAAGGTAATGTTTATTAATGATATTACTCATTTTTAAAAATATTTAAAGGAGCTACTCCATTTTGCTTCACCAGTTGCTCAAAGCCCATCCTGTCCTCCTTAAAGTTCACTCCTATTGTTGCACTAAGTCCAAGTCATCCTAATTGCACCTATAAATGGCAGTGTTTGAACAATCCAGAGAAAGAGTATCCATCAACTCCCGTAATATATCGTAATGACCCTTTACATTTCAAGTGCTGTGTCTGTTGATGAACATGTCAAAGAAACGGCTCATTTTGATGTTACATTTCAGCCTTTGACTGGTAGAAAAACTTGCATGTAATTTACGCTTAATGTTATAGTACTTTTGTTTACATATTATTCTGATGGTGACATCACAGAATCTATTCATTCTAAGCAATCTTCACCACGTCCTCGTTATAAAATTTTGTCTATTCCACCTCCAACATGTAAAATTATATTTGATTAGATTTATAAATTACTTCTACACATTTTAGTTGACTCTCTTCATTTCTTTTTAGAAGAAATAATCTCAGCTACAGATCACTTCAACAAAAGTAGAGAAATTAAAAGTGTGGCTATGGTAGGGTATATTTGGCAGAAGACTTGAGATCCATTAGTACAAAAGCAGCAGTGAAGGTTCTTTGAAAGGTATGAAAATGTTTTTTGCTTTTGATGTTGCCTTTTGATAAATTGCAGAAGGGATCAGAAGCCATGGCTCGAGGAAGTTCAGAATCACAACAAATAGAGACTGAATTGAAGGCATTGATGAAGTGCCAAGTTGTTATAATAAATGGTTTTTTTTTATTTTTTATTTTAGATTTTGTCACCAAAACATTTTAGAAATTATGGGATACTGTTTTTTATTCAAGCACTCGTGTCTAGGTACATGGAGAATGGGTCACTTTACTTATGGATTCACAAGGTTAAGTTATGCTTAATAAGTTGGATATATGAAAATAATGAACCATTCACCATGTAACGATACACTAAAGCCTTTTGCATGGCTCACGTACTGGAAAAGGAGTTGAATGAATTTAAAGAGGAATGAAATGCACATAGTATAAAGAGCAATTCAAAAACCTTTCTGCCATCAGCAATACCTAATGATTTGTATGATATGCCTCAGACATATAGTACAAGTTTGTAGTGACATTTTAACAGTACATGTTTTTACATGTACATGTATTATAGACTAATGCTGGTTATATGCAGCAGTGGAAATTAACCTGGGATTGCCGCATTTCTATTCTAAAACATGTTTTCCGTGGAGTTGCGTATCTCCATGCTGGAGATAAGCCCATAATCCATCAAGACATTAAATCGTTAGTTGCATATTTATCTACTTTTTAATTTGTGTACAATGTTTTATTGGATAAAGATTTCAATGCTGTCATTGGGGACTTCTGATTTGCTCTAGCAATTCCAAAGTCTAAATCTGGACGCACTCTTTTCACTGCACCTTTAATTGCAAGAACCGAGGGGTATTATCCCCCTGAACTACTCTCAG